CAACCCAAGCATGTGCCCTTGACTGCCTCCTATCCTGAACCCCGTGTAGGCTCCAGTTGGGCCACCCCCCCCCCCTCCTCAGGGCTACACCTCCCTCCCCTCAAATTCAAGGGGCCTCTCGCCTCCATTCCCACTCTGCCCGCACATCCTGGCGGGTCTTTGGGCGCCGGGTGCACAGCAAGGCCCCTCACATACATGAGAGTCAGAGGCCCTGCCTGCAGGAGAGGCTGAAACAGAAAGGGAACAGTGGGGACACAAGGCATTCGGAGCTCAGGGCCTTCCAGTCCTTGCAAAACGACATGAGCAGGCGCTTTAGAAGATGCTATTCCTACTATGCTCACTAGGGAGCAGAAGAGAAGAGCATTTTCTTGGCAGGAAAGGGGGCGGGGCCAAAGGGTCTTTCTGAGTCCTGCTCCTCCATAAAGATCAAGATTCCAAGTCTCAGGTGGCAAAACGGCGATCCCTTCATAAGGAATGTGAATTGTCTGTGACACCAGTATTCTTTAGATTGGTAAATGCATGAACAAACACCTTTCTAGAAATATGCTTTCTCATAGTACAATTTCTTATGTTCCACAGGACATGTTTGCTAATAGTCCCAATGCCTTTAGTTCCTCTATAAGATGAAGCAAAGCATGAATAAATCTGTGTTCAGTAACCCCACTCCTCACCCAAACTCTCACTACATTGCAACAAACAATAAACCACAACACACCCCGTTTCCCACACCAGCCACCCGCGCTGGTCCACTGCAGGCGACACTCGTTCTGCCTCATGGTTTGTGGAGAGGCCTCCGGGCTATGGAGGTGCCCCTACGTGTCTGCTGAGGCACATGGCGCGGCCTCGGGGACACGGCGCCCCCTGAGCACTGGGCAGTGTCTCCGCTGCTTCCGGGGCTTCCGGGCTGCGCTGCGGGCGGTCACTGGACGCCACACCGCAGGCTCCACGGGGTCAGAGAGGAGACTGGGCGCTCCCTGCACAGAACATGACCCCTGGGAGCCGATGCCATGAGGACCCGCTGTCGGCGTGTGAGGATCTGCACACGGTTCCCCCTTCACCTTCCCTGACGTCAGAGGACGGGGAGGAGGTAGAGAGACGCGGACTCGCAGTCCCGGGACCAAAGCTGCAACATTGTTTGCGTCCGTCCCGGAGGTGCTCCCGCCCACTGAGCCACACGGCCATGTTCTTACAGCTCACACACATCGCCCTTGTTTTAGGGAGCGTCCATTACAGCGGGGACAGGGAAGCACAGAAGAACTTGGCCCAGAAGCAGCCACCGGGGAGCCTGGGAGGGCGGCTGTGGCTCTAGAAACGAGCTGAGCGGCGGCTGTGGCTCCGGAGAAAGAAAAGTCACAGCGACGAGGGGACCCGCCGGGAGCTGCCTCACCCGAGGCCCAGCCGCTCCTCCCGGCCCTGCGCCAGCTCTGGCCTCGCACCCGGGCCTCACCTCACGCCCTCCGCACCCCTCACCTCAGGCCTCACGCCTCACAGCCGGCGGCCTCGCCTCAGGCCCTCCGCACGGCTCCCCTCAGGCCTCACGCCCTCTGCACCCCTCACCTCACACCTCACACCTCACGCTCTCGCCTCCGACCTCAGGCTTCAGGCCCCACACCCGGCGGCCTCGCCTCACGCCCTCCGCACCGCTCGCCTCACACCTCAGGACCTGCCGCGCTGCTCCCAGGCCACACTCACCTCATGTCCGCCAGCCGCCCGCCTCCTGTCCTGAACCCCGTGCAGCTCCAGTTGGGCCACCTCCCTCCCTCAGGTTCAGGGACCTCTCACCTCCATTCCCGCTCTGCCCGCACATCCAAGCGGGTCTTCGGGCTCCCGGTGCACAGCTAGGCCACGCCCCCAAATTCCAGCTCAGCGATAGCCGCAAGCCCTGCCCCGCCCCCTACTCCACCCTGGCCCCGCCCACAATCCACCCTGGCCCCGCCTCTCCATTTAGGAAAAAGCCTTGCCGGAAGCTTTTTTTGGTTAATCCTGGCCCACGGACATTTTTCCATTGATTTTTGGGGAGAGTGGAAGGGAGAGGGAGAGACAGAGAGAAACATCTGTGTGAGAGAGACGTTGATTGGTTGCCTCCTCATGTGCTCCCCAACCAGGGTTGAGGATCGAGCCTGGAACTGAGGTACATGCCCTTGACCAGAATCGAACCTGGACCCCTTCAGTCCGTGGGCCAATGCTGTTTGCACTGAGCCAAATCGGCTAGGGGCACAACCCAATCTTTTTGTTTGTTTTTTGTTAATCCTCACCCAAGGATATTTTTTTCCAGTGATGTTTTTAGTTAGAGTGGACGGGAGAGAGAGAAAGAATCATCAATGTGAGAGAGATCCATCGATTGGTAGCCTCCTGCCTGCACCTCGACCAGGGCTGGGGATTGAACCTGCAACCCAGGTACATGCCCTTGACCCGGAATCGAACCTGCAACCCCTCAATGAGCAGGTCGATACTCCAACTACTGAACCACACCACCCAGGGCTACACAACCCAATCTTAAAATGAGCAAAGGACATGAATAGGCAGTTGTCCAAAGAAGACACACAAATGACAATCACTTGGAAGGTTCAACTTTATAATCATTGAAAAGGAAAACCACAATGAGAGAAGCCTGTTCTCATACACACTTTGATGAATACAATAAAGAAGTTGATGTTTTGACCAGTATGTGGAGAAATTGGAGCCTTCTTACATTGATAGGAATACAAAATAGTGCAGCCTCTGTGTAAAATAGTTTAATGTGTGTTCAAACAGTTAAAAATAGTTACCTTTTAACTCAATTCCTCTCCTAGTTATATACTCCCAAAACTTAAAACAGATGTTCAACACAAAATTTGTTCATGAATGTTTGTAACAGCCTTATTCACAATAGCAAAATGGTGGAAACAACCTAAACATCCCCCCACAGAAAAACGGATAAACCAAATGCAGTCTCTCCATAGAATACAGTATTATTCAGTCGTAAACAGGGAAGATAAATGCAAAATGGTGCAGTTGCTGCAGAAAACAGGGTGGCTCACTGAAAATTAAATATAAAATCACCACACACTACAGCAATTCCACTTCTGGGTGTACGCCCCACAGAAGTGAAAACAAGGACCTGCACAGGACGCACAGCCCTGGTCACCACCGTGCAATCCACAGCAGCAGGAGGTGCTGGTGGGTGGGGAAGGCATCTGTAAGAAAGGCAGGACAGGGGTCAGCCAGCACTCCCACCGGAACCAGGCCTGGCCGCCACAGAAGAGCAGTACAGGGTCTGGCCCAACAAAGACGTCAAGCCAAGCTTGCTGGGTCCTTTGACAGCTCTCAGCTTGTAGGAGGCACAGTGCATGCAAGATGGAGACAGCGTGGGGGACCCACTCTCCCTGGGTAACTCGAGAGCAAATGCAGTATTTGCAAATATCCAGAGGGCCATCCTGCACACCCTCCTCCATATCCAAGCTATAACCAACTCCTGGCACTTTTCCCTCTCAAATCGCTCCAGTCCACCACCCCAGTACCACACTGGGCAGCAGCCTCCTCACGGGACCCCTTCTCCTTACCCCTTCAAGGAGGATTTTGCTCTCAGGATAGAAATCAAGATTCCCCACTCCCCTCATGGCCTGCTATGTCTTGCATGCTGTGGCCCTCCTGTCTTTCCAAGGTCGCCTGAGACCCCTCCTCCTGTAGCTTTCCTTTGCTATGGCCTCATGAGCCTTTCAGCTCCAAAACACTTTCTTGCCTGACGGCCTTGGTGTGGGGTTTCCCCCTGGATGGCGTCTACTCAGCCCCTAGACTTTCCAGTCCTGATGCCTCTTCTCCCGCCTCCTAGCGCATTTCCTTCGGAGGGTCCTCCGGAACGTTATTGTGCAGGCACTTGGTTCACGCCTGCCTGCCCACCGGGCGCTCAGCTCCACGAGGGCAACTCCGCTTTGCTCTCGGCGGTAGCCTCAGTCCCTGGAAGGAATGGCTGGCCTGGCGCACACCTGCTCCGCACAGATCCTTGCTGACAGAGTCCATGAACGCACCTGGGCCTGCGGTGCCGAGGGCGGGCTAGGCTCCCTGCTCACGCAGGCTCGGTGGCGGCTGTCTCGATTCATGGTTAATAGCACATGTCGCCGCATAGAAAAATGAACTCAAAATCACCCACCGGAGAACTGCAAACTTTAGAACTCTCCAGTCACGTGCCTCCCGCCACTGAAGCGCCACCCTCCACCACTTTCCTGAAGGCGGTGGCCCAGCCAGGGGTCCCTGGGCGCAGCGGCAGCCTCCGCACCTGTGCCCCAGCGCCCGCAGGGGGCCTTCCCCGGCGTCCTACCCCCACGCCTCAGGCCCGCTGTCCCGCCATCCCAGGAGGCCTGAGCACGGAAGCCCTGATTTAGTCCCGGGCCCGCTGACCCAGACTCCGGCCTCCACGAGCCCGAGGCCGCCCCCCCCCCCGCCCCCCCCACCAGCCTCCCCGCGTCCTCCCGCCGGCACCGCGCTAGGCAGCCGCGCCTCGTGGGGTCCTTCAGGCTTCGGTCGGGCAGCCCTGGTTGGGGTCCTTGCGCCGTTGCGTAGCAGCTGCGGGGACGCGGCCGAGTCCGAAGCCGGTGCGGCGCTGCGTGAGCCCCGCGGGTCCGAGCGGACGGGTCCTAGGGGTGCGGGTCCGCAGGGCCGTCCCGGGCACCCGGGATGGAGGGCAGGGCCCAAGAGGTGCAGGCAGCGGGTCCCAGACTTGTCCGCCGCCCCCAGATATCTGTTGAGGGAGGGAGTTTGCCGCTGTGTGCGGAGGGGCGGCCCACCGTCGCAGGGTTCGGAGGTGGCCACTCCGGGCGCTGCTGGGGCGCGGCGCCTTGGGTCGGCCGGGCGGAGTCTTCCGGGCGCGCCGGGAAATGGAGCGGTGGTGAGAGGCTTGAGGCAGAGAGGATCGGGAGGACAGGGCCTGCCTCTGCTGGGGGTCTGTCACTGTGACTCAGTGATGGCGGCCCAGGCTACAGAGCGCCGTGTCTTTGACAGTCTGACGTCGGTCATACGACATGGGCACTGCGTGGTCTCCCTGTTTCACAAATGAGAAAACCGTGTGTAGAAAGCCTGTACTCTCTCTCCGGAAAGCCTGT